GAGCGAAATCTGCTCCGCAGAATCTATAGTCCTGTGCGCGATGAACAGAATTGGAGAATTAGACATAACACAGAGCTTTACAATCTATTCAAGGAGCCAGATATCATAAGAATCATAAAGCTTGCAAGACTGCGATGGGCAGGACATGTGGCGAGGATGCAAAATTATGAAATCCCCCAAAAAACTATGGAGAGCAATCAACAAGGCTCTAGGAAAGTAGGAAGAACACGGCTGCGATGGCAGATTTGTGTGGCAAGACATGCACATGTAACTGGAGAGCGGCTGCGCAGGATAGAGGCGCCTGGCGGACACTTCTTGAGGAGGCCAAGACTCTTCATGAGTTGTAGTGCCGTGGAAGAAGAAGAAGAAGAAGAAGAAGAATGATTATAGTTCAAACTAAAATCATTGACCAACCTTATTAGTAACCTGAACTTACCCCCTTTTGTAGCATATCATATGCTCAAGAGGGAGACAGAGATTCCCCAAAACGTTCATTAATAAATAATAATAAAAAAACAAATGTGATTATTTATTAGATTGACATAAAGGCAAAAACAAAAATATTTGTTTTATTTTGTGTCAACATTCGGCTCAAGTCTTAGCCCTTTATTAGGGCTGAGGAAAAATAAGATAACCAAACATAAAATTATTATAAAAATATAACTTATATAAAAATATATTTTATCTGCTAATAAATAAATTCTAAGAAGTGAATAAAAATTATGATGTGTAAGATAAATTAAAATATATAGGGTGTCCCATAAGAAGAGGAAAATTTTTTTAGGAGTGATAGCAAACCTCAAGAGCTTATAAAAAGTTCATATAAACAATGGGCCAATTTTCACCAGAAAAGTAAGAAATCAAAGTTTTGTAATGAAATTCAAGTAAGCCATGTTTTTTGTAAATAGGAATCGATAACTAAAGAAATATTTAATTTAAGTAATTAACAATAGCTTTACTGTAAAGTAAACAAAATTTAATTCAAATGAAATTAGTGTTTGTCATTGTCAAAACGATTTACAGAGGACTTTTGAGCAGCTAGACTAAGCTAAATTCTGTTTTTAAAAAAGTCATAAATTATCCGCGTTTTTTTATTTTTTTTTTTTTATCATCATCCAATTATACTACAGTTAATCCACTTTTAGTAAAAGTACCTCGTTTAAAAAGGTTTAAGTTTATATTAATTAAATTGAGATTTGTTAGGCAAATTCTTGAGATTCACCTCAAGTTGTGTAAGAAAATTATGTGATTTTTTATCATGTCAGCTAAAATGACCCATCTTTTCACCAAAAAAGACTACAATCAACTGTTGCAAAGCTTCCATTTGTTCTTTTTACATGATCTGGGATGTATTATAATGAACATAATTGCATAAATACACTTTTTATTAGTAAAAAATTTTTTTTAAATTCTCTGTCAAAGGAATGGATCTGTATTTATAAGTTCAAAAATTTATGTTTAAAACAAAGAAATCTACTGATGGCTTCAATTATATTGATGAAAACATAAATATTAGGGTTGGAAACATAAAGTTTGTCGCTTATAAATACGGATCAATTCCTATGACAGAGATTTGGGAGAAAAATACAGTTTCATAACCACTTTACCTGAAAAGTATTTAAAAAATCATTATTTTGAACATTTTGTTTTTTATAATTATAACAAGCGTAATTAAAAAATTGAAAGTTATTGTATACTCCAAATTTTCTGTGATTGATATTGCTTCCAGGATTTTTCTTATTATTATGCAGATAATTTCTACATCTTCAAAATTAAATCTATGGCCTTTTTCAAACCCATGTACCAATGCAGTTTTTTTTTTATTTTAGGTTATTTTTATTTTTGTAATAATTTTTATATTGGTATATTCTGTCTTCATAATCCACTTTCACTATAATATATTCCCAGGTAATCCAAACCCAAACAGTTTATTTTATATAAAACCACTCCATTTTTATTTTAATAAATTTTAACTTCTGTATTACTTAACAAATTTGCTATATTATTAGTTAGCTAATAGCCAAAATTATATATAAGTACATTGAAATTTTTTAAAGTTAAACTTTGTGATAGCTTTTTTATGTAAGTACATTTTTTGTATTTTATATTATTTGCGGCTTTCACACTACAACTTCATTTCTTTCTTCTATACTTAAAACAATTCGTGTATCTTTATTTTTATTTTATTGATTTTTGGTCCATCCATTATTTTTATTACTTTGTTTATAAATTTTTTAATCATATTTATTTTCATGTGCTGTGGATGATTTGAATGGTAATTAAGTATAATATCACTAGTAATTTCTTTCCTTGTCCATTCTGTAATCAATTTATCTTTCTCTTTACTAATTTTTATTTATTAAAATGTGATGGAATTATTTCAGTTTCTTTTGTGAATTTAAAACTTTTATTGTAATTATTAAGAAGATCAAAAAAAGTATCTATTTTATCTTTTTAAATTATACATAATATGTCTATTTACATATTTTAGACCTAATTTTGGTTTTATTTTTTAACCATTTATTACATCTAATAATAATTTATTCATAAATAAACCTGATAAATTTACTGACAGAACTAGAAATATTTGTTGATGTGGAAAGAATAAGAAACAAAAAAATATATATACATTTTTCTTTTTTCCTTACGCGTTAACCCCACTTAAGGGTCGTTTATAGGATTCCCTTTTATGATCCATGCTCATGCTCATGCTCATGCCTACATGAAATTAAAATTGTTTCCATGATTTTTTTTTTAGTTTTACATGATATGAAATTCACAATAACAGGAGTGATCTGGGAGTACTAACACATAGAGAAGAAAGACCAATAAAGAACTGCATATAGAAACTGGTCAATCAATATGCCATGATATAAGGCACAGAGGTTAAGATGGGTGGGGCATGTAGCTTGTAGCAATCCATTTGTAATCCTCAACGTAACAATGAATGCCTTAGTATAAGGCAAAAGACCAGGTGGAAGGCCAAAAAGCAGATGGATAGATAGAATCAACAAAGATGTAATAGAACTGCATGCAGATAACTGGAAAGAAATAACACAAGACGGGCAGAAATGAAGCTGGCGGCAAAAGATCTACAAGGTCTGTAATGCTAACGGAAAGAAAATATATATATGAAATTTTAGTACAAAATTACAATTTTAAAACAAATAAAAATTAGAAAAAAAAAATACATCAAACTAAAAACAGAAAAAAAAAGGAACAAAATAAATTAAACACAAAAAATCAATTTAACATAGCCAATTATACGTATAATTAATTCAATTGCTACCATAGAGTACTATATTACAAAAATATTTATATGAATAGTTATGACTAGTGTTGTTTTTCTTTTTTTGGGATGTTTTTGAAAATGGCTTTTAGGATAAAAAAAAAAAAAAATTCTTGTCAAAATGATTTTTTATATAAAAATAAAAACTGTGAGGTCTTTTTGTAAAACCGTTAATCATTTATTGATTAAATGTGATAGAAAACTTATGTAAAATATTATGAGAAGTATATTTTAAAAAAAATCAATATAAGAAGATAATGATACCATAGCTGATAGCTGTACGATACCATTTGAAAAAAAATTAATAAATTAGGCTAGTCTATGCACGCAGTAAAAAATAAATTTAATAATTAATGAACTGAAAATGTGTGATATTTAAAATTTTTATAGGAAGTTATAAAGTAATGAAACAAAGTAATAAAATAAATGGTGAAAAAAAAATAACAGTAACGAAGTAATGAAATAAGCAATGTAATAAAAAATGAAATAATAGAGAAGTGAAATGGAATATTAAGTAATTGAACTGTTGTCTCCTATTTAATTATATTACAAAACATTAGTACAAAATAAAATAAAAATTGTATATTTTTATTTTTTCTCATTGCTATTGCAACCCCTATTTTTTTTTTATTTTTATAAATACAGAATAGTATATTAATTAACTTTAAAGGCCACAGAGAAGACCTAGGAAGCCTAAGGATGGTATCGGGGAGAGTGCCAAGGTGGCCTTTAAAGGAGGAAATGGATTGGATGAAGAGGTAGAAGTTGGCACAGGACCGAGATATGTGGTTAGGGCACTACAAGAAAGCACCCATACTGTTCAACGATAGAAGAGGATATGATTAAGAAGAAGAAAAAGAATTAGTTTAATATAACCAATCAAAAAATGAAATATAAGGTTTTTAATGGTTTATTGTAATTATTTATGCTGAAAATACTGATACTTTGAGCATACAGAATTTCATACTCTCCAGCGGTAGAGGAATATATGACTAGGGATAAGAAGAAGAATTAGTTTAATATAAGGCATAAAAAAGTAAAGTAAAAGGTTTGTAATGATTTAGTGTAATTATTCTTGCTGGAAACACTGGTACTTTAAGAAGACAGATTTTCACATCACATAAACTTTATACAAAACTGGTAGAAAATCTCAGCATCTTATTCTGTGACAAACCTTAACTCAATTAATATGAAATGATCCTATTAAACAAGGAAGTTTTTCCAGAAGTTGATTATTTGCAGTCCAATTGAAGGTTGATAAAAAAATCGTAAATAATCCACATTTTTTTATGAAAAACTGAACTTTGCCTAGGTTATTTGGTTAAAAACCCCTTTAAAATGAATCAAGAAAGACAAATTCTACCTGCATTTGATGGAAAATGGGTTTAGTTTCCGATGAAGCAATTGGTAATTATCTAAGTCAAATATTATTTCAGTTGATGCTTTCTAGTTCACAAAAAAACCTGACTTACTCAAAAATAAACAAAATTTAAATTTTTTAATGTTCTAAGGAGAATCAAACCACTATTTAAATGATTTTTAGAAGCTCTTGATATCTATTATCACCTTATTAAATATTTCCCACTACTTATGGGACATCCTACACACACACACAGACATACACACACACATTATGGATTACTTGAGATTGTTATTTACATTATCATGTTACTGTACTGGCAATTAGCTCTAATGCATTATAAAATTTCAGGTACAAACCAAACTTTCTTAAAAGAACAAACATAGTACCGCTTCAGTTGGCAAGAAGGAAGTACCCTCGACCATCACTTCAAGAACTTAAGACTGCTTTAAATACTTCTTACTCATTTATAATAGTTCGTCATCCGTTTGAAAGGCTGCTGTCAGCGTATAGAGATAAAATACAGTATGCATTGCCTAACACTCCTCATCAAAAATTAGGAAATGAAATAATTTCAAAATTTAGAGAAAATTCTATACAGGTAGGATAAATATAATTAAATATTACAGATAAATAACTTAGAGTCATACAATAACTAGGTGTGATTGAAACAGTAAATATAATAGGATATAAAAAGAAAACACATGTATAGTTTAATAATAATATTAATTTATCTACAAATTGAAATTCTAATTTTATAATTTTTTTTTTTTCACTTTTATGAGATATTGTGTATCAAATAAAAGAATGACTAACAAGTGATTGTTTCCAGATATTATTCATATTAAAAATTGTTCATAAAAATTATACACTTTTTTACATAATTTTGTTTTTTTGCAGTTATTGTAAATCCTAGATACCTAAATTTCTCTACGTATTCAATACGTACCCATTCCTTTCTATATCGATATCGCCGTTTTTGCAGCTAACCATATATTTTGTCTTATGCGTATTTATTTTTCGAGCCCAACTTTCTCACCGGCTTTCATTTCGTATTTAGTTTTATATTTTCCTTGTGTTCACTTAACAGGACAAAATCATCTGCATAGCCAAAAACGGGCGTTATCCCACCCAAATTCAACCCTTTTTCGTTACAAATTACTTCCCTAATGGCATGTTCTAAAGATAAAATAAAACAGGACATGTGAAAGGAAATCACCTTGTTTTAAACTCAAACAGACCTCAAATTTTTCGGATAAATATTACCAATTCTAACTTGTGTGTTTTCATCAAGCACATCCTAACTAGATTTATTCATTTTTTTTTCATTAATATTATACAGATTAAAATAATATACAGCTTCTGGCGATCAATAGAATCGTAAGCCTTTTTGAAATTGATATAAAGCTGTTGAACAACATCGTTGTACTCTATTTTTTTTTTCCAATATTTGCTACAAAGAAAATATTTGATCAATAGTTGAATGTTTCTGTCTAAATCCGCATTGATAGTCTCCGATAATTTCCTCAGCATATTCCGTGATTCGATTAGTAAGGATTAATGCGAATATTTTATAACACACCGGAAGGAGCCAGAATATATCTAGATAATCTATATAATCTTATGAAACGGAGTGAGAATATATTCTTTCCATTCTTCCAGATCTTTTTTACCAACAAATGTAGGAAGCACCTGGTAAGGAAGTGTGCCCCCCTGAGAAAATTCCTGGATCCGCCACTGTCCTCAAGCCCTTTACTCGGGTCTTTTATTAACGGTTCAGCACCCTGGCATTCAGAAGGACACAGATCATTATTTCCTGTATTTAAAATATTGCCAAAGTGGTTCTCAAACTTATTTAATGTGTTTACCAGATCGGTAAGAATATTGTTATTTTCATCCCTAATTCCAGACGTTATGGACCCTAAACATTTATGTGATCTGTTTATGCCTTTGCACATGTCTCTGATATTATTTTTGATTCCATTAGTTTCTATTTCTATTATTTTATTTTTGAGCAATTTAGTCATTTCATTCTTTAAAATTCAGAAGTATTCCAGATTGTCTTCACTAGGATTACGTAGAGCTTTTAATTTAGCAGCTTTCCTTTTATTACACATGTTTAAAAAATCTTGGTCGAGCCAGGATTTATTCTTTTTATTTTTCCCAAGACATGAATTTCCGATCGGTTTAATACTATTCCTGATTCCTAGCCATAACTTGTCTATATCATCGCGGTTCTTGTCAGAAGGTTCTAAAGCTTCAAAGCTATTCTTAACATCTAGCTCAAATTGAGTTCTAATTGATGGATTTTTAATTGTTTCCAAATTAAAATTCTTGATATTGAAACGGTTTTCTTTTCTCTTTTTTATATTAAGTTTATGTCAAAGTTTTGCGACTATTAATTCATAATGAGATCCACATTCTGCTTTGCAATAAGACAGTACATTAATTATACAGTTTTGCCAGCTATGTTGTACCAAGATATGATCGATTTGATTTATATCTTTATAGAAACATTTAAATTTATTGTTTCTTTCAAATAATTTTAAATGCCCCTAGACTTCCATCGGGTTTTATGCTGTCCAATATACGGCAATTATACATTTTCACAATTATCAGAAAAAGGAAAATTTTGTTGAATTTTTGGGGTTATTTCATCTTTAATTCAACCCTTAAAATAGGTGAGAGATACAAGTTTTTATCTTATTCATTCAGTGTCTAGTTGTAAACAGAAAAAAATAATTGTGATCGTCTGTCCTTAGAGCACATAGGTACTTAGTAATGTAAGTAGGAATTGGAGTTACTTCTCTCAACCTTTAAATTCATTATTTATTAAATTTAATTTATTTAATGGACCTGTAATTTAAACAGGCAACTTTTTATAAAACATAAATTTTTATTTGTATTCAGAATTACAAGTTGTATAAAAAATAACCTTTCTCCATCAGTTTTTGAAATTATGGATATAGAGTTTTTTTTTTTAATGGTGGAGAAAGGCTACTTTAAAAACAACTCACAATCAAATATCACTCCATCTTTAACCACAATGTTAGTATTTATAATATTATTTGAAAAAAGTCTTATTTATTACTATTTACCGTAGTCTACTTAGTATTAGATATTTTACAAATCATTTGATTCAGTAGAATTAATTTAATTCTACTTAGTAATTAATTTAATTTAATTAGTAATAGAAATTATGAATTTTTTATTTGTGAATTCATTTTTGTTTTTATCTTATTTTAAGTGAATTCACATGTAAACATAATTTTCAAAAAACTAATAAATGAAAAATACAATAATTCTGCCAAATAAAATCATCATTTGACATGATTGGGGACGGGAAACGGCAAAAATATGTTATAACAACCTTTGACACTCAGCGAGGGGTTAAAACTTGTAAATGATAGAATATCAACAATAATGTGTTCTAAATATCCACGCGTTTAGAAGTATGAATAAATGGTTCAATATTTTTAGGGAAGAAGAAAAAAGGCTTTCTATAACCCTAGATGGCCAACTTTACCAGAGTTTGTGAACTATTTAGTAGACATAAAAAAAAAAGGATTGCCTATGGACATGCACTGGGCACCTATAACTGAATTCTGCACCCCATGTCAAATTCATTTTGACATCATAATTAAATTTGAAACTTTAATGGTAAGAATATTTATAGTATAAAAATAATGCATGAAAATATTTATTAGTGGCCATATTTTTATTTAAAAAATAAAAATTAAAATAAACATTTATTCCTTATGTTAGTTCAAGTTAGTGTTGAAATGAAATATTGGGTTGAGGAAAAAGCAATTTATTTTTTCATGTGATTCAAAGCCAATTTAAATATATAAATTTCAAACAATAACTAATGAAATATGTGCTGTTTTTATCGATGAACTTTTGCCATTTTTCTGGTAAAACCATAAGTCCGTCACAGAAGAAGTTCTGAGATTTGTGGACAAAAAACTAAACCAAATGATTTTATCAATCTTCATTTGAGTCCAGCTTTACGCCATTAAGAGAATTCTACAGAGGAGGAAACAAATGATAGTCAGACGGGCCAAGGTCCAGGCTATAGGGTTGTAGCGGCAGCGGGTATTCTAAAAATAAATACCAAGTCTACTCACCTTATCCATAGGCACTGGTGCCTTGCAAAATTAAAATAATAACAATTATAAAAAGGAAAAAATAAATGTTGAATAGCAGATAAGACATATATATAAGAAATAAAGAAATTAAATAATATATGCCATAAAATAAGAACTAAAATGTTTCTTTTAATACAAAAACAAATTAATGAAATAAACAAAAAATACTTTTAAAATAATTCCAACAAAAAAAAAAAACCTCTTGATGAAGAGTAATGCTAAATGCTTGTTCTTGTGTTTTCATCTGTCGCAGCGATCAGACGTCCTCCTGGAGGATTGAAATTTCCCAAATGTTGGTAGAAATAAAATAAAATCCACAAGGATACTTCATTTAAAAGATAACAAAACTCTAGTATATGGTCCTGATGAGGGCAAGTAAGAGGTAAGCAAGACTAGTCTGGGTGCCCGCTTAATCCTTTAATATACCTAATGTATTTAAAGAGTACCATTTATTTATAATATTAAATTTACATATAGACATACACATACACACACTAGCTCTCTCGATCTTACTCATTAAAGATGTGTGTGTGTGGTCTATTATTGTTGTAATAGAAGAAAACGCCTTTCCTATTCATTAATTCTTTCCATTTTTCTTGAATCACCTCCTCTAACCACACTAGTTGTTCACAGTAGATATTTGAATTAATGGTTTGGCTAGGTTTGAACAGCTCATGACGAATAATGCCTTTCCAATCTCACCAAACACTCAGCATCTCCTTCCTTGGCCTCTATTCAGGCTTTGCCACTGTTTGTGAAGTTTCCCTGGGCTATGACCTAGATCTTTTTTGCATGTTATTGTTGCACATGATTCACTTTTAATCACCTGTAATCATTTATTTCAAAAATGGCTCGATTTAGTTTGATTTCAGCAGCGATTCATAGATGAAAACTCGGTCCATTAAATTTTTCACTGTTCATTTATCAGTAACTCAAGTATCAAGATTCTTTTGGTATCCGGTCTTATGTAAATGGTTCAAAACTGTTTTCTGATCAATTTTTAGTAATGTAAAAAATGACCTTCAGGAAGCTTAATTTTTTAAGTGAATTAACTGTTGACTAAGTAAAAAATGACACTATTTTTATACATAGAATGTTCTATGAACTATGATCTTTCAAATGCACTATAGAATGGCTTCATTGAATTAGGATTACAAGAGATAAGGGACTTTAAAGTCAACTATTGGGATAAAACAGAATTACTTTTTTCTCAACCCAATATTTAAGTTAATGTTGCCTGGTACAGCATTAAGTGATTTAAAAAAAAAAATCAAACTTATGTAAAATTAGCTGAAAATTAAAGACCACAAAGAGAGCTTTTTTTGTTAATTAGATTCATAATGACATTTTAAACAAGAATATTCCAGAGAAATTTTGAAGTTAACCTTGATTGATTGAGATATTGAAAACATTTTAATTTTTATAATTTTCAAAACAATTAAAAAAAGATAATATGATTGGTGCTTTGTCACTAAGATGAAATTTATACTATTGCCTAAACATGATTTAACAGCAATAATATAAAAATTATGGTAAGTTTATAAAATATAAAAGTATCCAGGAAAAAACAAATTAAATTTTTTAATATAACAATAGAATATTAATCTGAAGCATTAATTTACAACAAATATTACAGGAAGATCAAAAGTATTTAATACAAGTAGCAGGACTGAAAGGTAAAATAAAACCAGAATGGAAAAATCCTTCTAAAGGCCGTGTTACAACTGATGTAGTCAATAACTACTATTCACAACTAACAGTAAAGCAAATACTGCAACTATATTATTTATACAGGTAAAATTTATAAATTTATTATTCTATGATTAGTATTAAAATATAATTAGCGTTAAATGAAATGAATTCTCTACCCTTCTTATAAACATTTTAAGAAGATGTAATAATGGTATATGGGCAATATGTGGAATCACTAGAATAAAACTATTATTACTTGAACAAAAATTATTAGGTCTCTTCATTTTAGTATTTAGGGAGTATAAGCTCTTTGTTACAATTAAGGACTTGGTCAGATAGGCAGTCACCAACTAGGCATCCAACCAGTTCTTATAGTGAAATAGAAGAAAAGTTTACTAGATAGAGGTCTCTTTATTTTCAAATTATACTTCTATTATATAACTGAGAGATTTGATTATCAAACCAGTCTCTGGCATTGTCCAAATAGACAAAGCAATGCACAAGGTGCCAAAGGCAATGGATGCTGAATCAGACAAAATAAAGCATAAATAAAGTAGCTGACAGCCTTACAAGCGGAAAAGTTCATTTGACTCTGATACCTTAGATTTCAAATTATTTAGAGTTGACATAATAATAAAATTTATGAATTATAATTATATTTACAAAAGAGAAATTAAAAAGGAAAAAAAGTGTTTTTGACACAACAAATTATAACATAATTATGAGAAGGAGTTGATCAGGGGGGGGTGCGGTCAAATAAATACTAAATTAAACAAATAGTATTATTTAATTTTTGTTGACGTTTGATATAACATATATATGTAAGTTAACAGATTGCGATAAAAGATAAGGCAAAAGCGATAAAAGATATATACTTTTAACTTACATGCTATATTCTCCTTTATTTTCTATTTTATTCATACTTATTTTCCACTTTTGTTTGTATCTTCTACATATAATACTTGATATTTTAACTACATTGTCACCCACTATATCTGTGATATGATCTTTTTATTTCTGTATCAGGCAACTTCTTCTTATTTTATATCTACTTATATTCATTTATTTTATTTTCACCATGTTTTGTATCTTTTGTAGCCCTGATGAAGACCTGCAACGTGGGCTGAAACGTCGGCAAAAATTAAATAATACTACTTGTTTAATTTAGTATTTATTTGACCGCACCCCCCCGATCAACTCCTTCTCATATTATATCAACGGTCAACCATCTCTACATCATTATAACATAATTAATTAAATAAAAAAATAAACAGGTGCAATGGCTTGGTCACAGGCTAGTCAAGACCGACAACTACTCTTAACTTCAACCGACAACAAATTCCATTCCATCCCTCACCTACTTATTTATTTTCAAATGTACTTATTAAATTTTATTGTTGAATTTTTTCATCAACACAGCATAATTTCTTTCATCTAATAAAAAAAAATAATAATTTCTTTATTTAAACTTCCATGACAATCTGTTTGATATTAAATGAGAACATTCCCAATTAAGAAATTAAAACAATCTAGAGTGAGATGAATGGCCCAAATCCCCAAACATGGAGAAAAAAGTAACTTTTTTTTCAAGTAACCGAGTCCACAGCATTGATTTAGGCTCTTGAAAATAAGAAAATGGAGAGACATTCCAGAGAAATCAAGTGATAATGTCATCTTTGAGACAAATTTATATGAATTGGGAACCTGAGTCTAGAATATGGGTTCTTTTTTTAATTGTCCATATAAAATTCATTTATTTAATAACATTGTCTATTTGAACTGAGAAAAAATATGATAAAATTAAAATAATGCTATATTAGTTTGTAACCTTAATATTTCATATATAATAGTTCTAGATATTTACATACATTATGCATTCTTGTGAATAAGAAAGTTACAAAAAGTGCAATGTATCAAAAACTGACTTCATACAGACATACTGTATATACTTACTAAGATGAATACAAAATAATTACAGCTGACTTTGTTCAATTTGATTTTGACTTTAAGTAGATTTTAGTAAGACTAAGTACATAGAGTATGAATTTCAGTGAAATTAATATAGGGGAATAAAAAAGCAATATAAGAACTTTATATTATCTAACTTAACTTTATATTACCTTATAGATAATTCATGAATTTCAGTGAAATTAATATAGGGGAATAAAAAAGCAATATAAGAACTTTACATTACATTAAAATACTTTCCGCTCACCAGATACCAGATACCCGATAAAGTATTCTGGTGTAATTGGAGAGTAAGAGGTTCTGATGCACTAAACTATCATAAACAAAATAAATAAAGTTAGGGACTGAAAGCAATTAGCTGATTGACTGGGGAAGATATCAAGATAGGTAGAGGAGTAGAAGGAGAAATATAGAGCAATTAGTTGCACACTACATGTCCTATGAAAATTAATGAAGTTGATCAAAGTGAAATTTCATATAATAGGAATTAACGAGAAATGAGTAATTTTATGGAAGGATCTAAGAAGAGCATTGGAGCCTATCATTATGGACTCAGACTCGTATACATTTATTTTTAATTTGTTTGCATTAGCCCCAGAATATATGTTGAGGCCAACTTGTACTCAATGTCCCCAGAGAAAACAAAGAAAAGTGGTTTTGGGAATCCTCAGCATTAAGATTGGAATAACAATTATTGGAAGGACAATTTTTGATGGAAGAACTAATATTATTTTAAAATGTACAAAAGGAAATAGGTGAAGCATAGAAATCCTGTACTTCCGTGGGGGATAGAGAAGGATTTAAGATTTTCAAAAAATGCAAGCAATCAATGACAAGGGATTGTACCATTTCATAGGATCACATTACTGGAAAACAAAAGGTTGGCAAGTTCACAAACAGAAATAAGTGATTGATTGATGGAGTCATATTCACTATTTAGACAAGGACTGGAATTTTATTGTGGTCCATGACTGAGTGGATATTAGATGAGGAAATATTTAGTGGGATGATTTTCTCTCCATGCCATTCATTTTTATATATACATATATTTACTTGTTATGCCGCATATATATATATATAAATACATTTTGTTTATTTCTAATCAATATTTTGGCATATGGATTATTATATTTCCATATATCATATTATAGGTATTTAGGCCATAAATAATCTTTATTTTTCTGAACACAGCTGTAACTTTCATAGGACATTGTCCCAAAATAAAGTTATTTTTCTATTTCTATACTAAAAATAACTTTTTATTTACAGATATGACTTTGAACTCTTTGAATATAGCATCAGTGATTACCTGGACATGGCAAAAGCTGATAGAGTATTTAGTCAGAAGTCAATCACAGAATAGATATATAAAACAAACAATAATGAAAAAAAGCTGTAATGAATATCTTTTTAGATTTAGAAATATTGAAAGTATTCCTAAAATGCTATTTGGAATTATATTTATTTAATGGTTGTATTTAAAATAAAATAAATTTATTTTCTTAACAAACCACAATTTTATTAATCCTGTTTTGGCTAATTGTATTATATATTCATTTCTATGAACTCAATAAATAGCATGAAGTAAGACAATATATACTATGAATACATTTTCATTATTTAACTCTATGGAGGACATGTTTTAATTAAAATTTCTATCCTGAAATACATTGAAAAAGCATATCATACCCAAATGCATGCCCACCTAAGAATACAAGGTAATTAAAGATAAATAAAAAAAAAAAAGTATTTAAAATGACTTCTTACAGCATAAAAAATAACAATAAATAAATAAATATTTATCAGATCATTAGAGATATGCTAATGTTTTTCAAATTTTATTATCTGCCTATTAAAATATTTCAAATGTCATTAGATTCAAGAAACTTACCTGTTTTGAAGATTGGACACAAAAAAACCAATTACCCAAAAATCAAAACAAACTTTGATCCAAGGCTTACCAAAAGAAAATGGAAAATGTCTTATCTTAGATGTTTCCTTACATTTTTTCCCGAATACAGTAACAAGCTCTTCATCCTAAAATTCATAAAATACTTGTTAGTTAGTTAACTAGTAATTTCTATTAAAACTAAAAATATCAGCATTTTATATGACAAATCAAATACAACCATAATTAAATTATTTATTTGCAAGCTTTTAAATAACTAGCAAATTAAAGATTTATAAACCCACATTCATTCAATTATTTATGGTTTACAAGAGTAATTTTCTTTCAATAATTACAAAATAAATTATAAGATTTCTGTCATTAAAATGAAATATCCTTTAGTATTTTCTTTTTTATATCAAATGTAACTCATCCATTGTAACCGATTGGCAGTCACCAATCCAAGTACCTACATGGACATTGCCTATTGCAATTTTCTTAGCCTGGATGATCATCCCACTCCCTTATACTTTATATATATATATATATATATATATATATATATATATATATATTATATATATATATATATATATATATATATATATATTGTAATGTCATCATTACATGGCATTTGAATATTGGCGCGAAAGTGGTAACAGCACGAACTACAGGGAGGAAGTGCGTGTGGATGGTGGGGGAAGCAAGCCTCATGTAACTCAGAATGTGACGGGCCGCCAAGAGAGAAGGTGATAGCCGCCAAGAGAGAAGGTTATAAGCCGTAGCCAGCAAGCTGAGAAAGTGAAAAAGGAGTCCTAGCTGGTTCGAGTGTTGATAAAGGCCACTAGTGGAGATTATTTTATGTTGGAAGAGAACACAGCAGAAATTAATTAAGCGGTACAGAAAACGGGACATTCGTAAGTAAGAAGAGATTATTTCGCTGACAGGCGTAAACATTTGGGTGAGTGCTAACAATGCCATTTATGTTGACAAAGGGATAGAACCAAAAGTTTAGACCGGGACAAATTATTTTATAAAACTATTTTAAATTATATATTAGTGTAGATTATAGTTATTTAATGTGAGAAGGAGTTAGTCGAGGGTGCGGTCGCATAAATAAAAAAAATTAAAATATATAAACTATTTTAATTTATTTTAATATATTTTAATTTATATATTTTAATTATTTTTATTTATGCGACCCAACCCTCGACTAACTCCTCATATTATATCAACGGTCAACTATCTCTACATCATTATAGTTATTTAATGTTGAATGAGTGTTCAGTTATCAGAATCCAACCTGAGATTTATGTTATATGTTAAAATAAATAGTATATTGAAAAAGGAAACTCGTTTGATTTTGGAGGGAAAGAGGAACGTTACAATATATATATATTGTAATGTAAATATTACATAGTGTTTTTGAATATTGGTGCGAAGGTAGTGACTTCACGAACTACTGCCAAAAATAGACAAAAAATGACAGATGGTGGGGGAAGAATTCCATATGTTAGGGCAGAAGGTAGCCAGCCGGCTAGGAAAGAGGATTGCTGAGAAGAAAATGTTAGAATAAGTAGCGAATGTCAACAACAGAAAGTTGTAGAACTTGAATACAATAACGATGAAGATTCACTGCAGAACAGGGTGAGTGAAATATAAAATGGACAGTTCGAAAATGCGCCAAGATTAGATCCTAACAAAGAATGGAAATTCATAAAAAAGTGTTATATAATTAATGTATGCCTTTGTATTATATATTTGAGGAATGTGTGTAAGTTGTCTAAACCCAAACTGGGAATTAATTATTGTGTATAATAAATATTATTTGATTAAGAAACTGTTTGTTTACTTTTCAAAGGGAACATAAACTTACAATATATATGTATATATTTGAAGATAATTATTATAATCGGGTGATAGGTCACTTAAATATATTTTGATTAACTACAATAACATCTGTGTTTATTCTTCTTATTCAAATGTTTCGATCCTATTTTCCTTAAATAATGGAATTCTATTCAGTACTGGAAAAACAATACCTATCATTGGTACACAAATACAAGCTTTTATTACTTAACAGTACCTCTTTAGAAGAATTTATGCTCACAACAGCATAGAAAGTAAAAAGAAGAGATGGCTTTAGCCAACCAAACTATTAGGAATAAACATAAATTTGATTTTAATGAGGCAAAAGTCCTTGATGATTCTTGATTGAAGTAGAAAACTAGAAATTAAAGTATAGGGACGTGGAACCACAGGCGGATCTACAGGAGAGAGGCTTTCGGGCTGAAGCTCCTCCCCCACCCCAAAAAAATGTTAAAACATAATCACGTCTTAATATATAAATATATTTCTTATGAAAACCTATCTGTAAAAGTATTATTAATTATTATAATAGAAATATATGATAGTAAAAGTATCATGTAATTACATTTTACAGAACTTCAACAATCAATTAAACACCATTTCATGTAGGTAATTAGATAGTTTCTTTCTTTTTCTACCAAAGTAGTAATCATAATTAATAAAAAAAAAAAAAAAAAACCTTTTGGGCTAAAGTCCCCCTCAAAATTCAATCCTAGATCCACTAGTGCGTGGAACGGAAGAAGTTTAAATATAGCAGGTGCTTTAAAATCAGTCACAAATGAGCTTAATAGGCACAATTAGATATCGTGGCATTTGCAAGAGGTCAGCTGGCCAGGGGAGAGATCTATAAGAGAAGGTAAGTACACTATTTCGTATGCAATAAGCGGTAATCATTGTTTAGGTACAGGTTTTCTTATTAGGAATAAATTTCTGTCAGCTTTGAGGGACATACAATTCTTGAAGTGATAGGATTTCGGGGCCATATTCCAGGGGCGTTGGTTTAGAATCACATTGATAAACATACACTGTCCAACCTAAGATAGTGATGAAGCCAAATGCGAATTTTCTTTGTTAAAATTTGATAAAAGAATTTTATTTGATAAATTGGAGTGGGTTTGAGATAAACTACTGCGAAGCTTCATGAAAATGGTTTTAGGAGACATTAACGCAAAGGTGGGAAGGGAAGAAGTTTATTTTCCGACAATTGGTAAAGAAAGCTTACACGACTATAGAAATGATAACGGAATTCGGCTGATAAATTTTGGCATCTCGAAAAGCCTAATAATTAAAAGTACTATGTTTAAACATAAGGATATTCAAAAATATACTTGGACATCGTCGGATAAAATAACACGAAACCAAATCCATCACGTCTTGATACACCATAGGTGGTAATACAAAATATAATTAATGTTATCACCTATAATTATTAATTAATAATAAGTATAATTAGTCTTATCACGGGGAAGAATCTGGGGCCAGATCATGAATTAGTAATCACGAAAATTCGACAAAAACTAAATATAAAAAATAGTAAAGAAAACGGTTTTGATACCAAGAATTTTAATTCGGAAAAATTAAAAAATCCATTAATTAGAACTCAATTTGAGCATGAATTAAAATCAATTTGAAGCTTTAGAACCTTCTGATGAGGACTCCATTCGTCCATAGTCCAATGGATGTGTTCTCAAGCAAAAGCCAGCCGTGTTACTCTGGGAGTTCTGGTCAACTCTGGTCCTTTTACTAGACGAAAAGCCATTAATCCATACTCATTTAATCTTCTTCGAGCGGTACGTTCAGAAATTTGCACACCTCGAACTTCTTCGAGCTGATGAATCACTTGAACAACGGTAAGGTGCCGGTTTCGTAAAATTCTCAAAGTCAAAACGGTCATCCCGTAGTTCTGTTACCCTAGGCCGTCCAGAACCGGGCCTTCTATTGTAAGAACCAGTTTTCCGAAAACGCCTGACGGCGTCTCGTAAAGTTTCATATGGAACTCCGATGGCATTAGCTGCATATCTAATGGAACGTCCATCATCAATAAGTGCCACACCACGCGCAACATCCTCAGCACTAAGAGGCATTTTTAAACTTAATATTGAAAAAATTAAAAGCCGGAGACTAAGAAATGTGCTCCAAGAAACGGCACTGAACTAATGATACTGAATAAACATTTTGATCCCATAGAAAGTAAACATTGGAATCTAGAATCATTTCATTGAATTAAGGATTAAGGGTTATTGTCCTGTATATTAACATTCCTAATTGAAAACAACCAAAAAGATTACCTATTTATTCATTAAAAACAATAGACCAATCCAAAGCAGAAATATTTTTACATGAAAACATGAAAAAATCAATTGGGTGGAATTTTTTGACTGTCAGTGTATATGATTGTTTTTAGCAACATGAATATTTAAATTTATAACCAGAGATTGTACGTCCACTGAAAAACTGGGCTGCGGGAAGTGTTCTAGGCACAGAACAAAATATATTTTGTAATGTTTCTATGTATAAAGAGTACATAATTTGAGTTCAAAATTTGAACTCTTGCCCTTAGTATGCTTCTTTGTGTTTTTTACTTTTTTTGCATGTATGTTATTTTGGTGCCATCATTACTAAATTTGAAAACAGTTTTATCAAAATATCAGGATTAGTTAAACATTTAAATTATTCTATGGAACAGTGGTAGGAAACCACTCCTCTATCCAATCCACCTAGTTACCCAAAATCTTCAATACTGATCCTTTAATGGTACATAAAAAGTCATCATCCTAGCTCATTTTCTCTGAAGATTTTAATTTAAAAAAAAAAGATTAGAAAATAAACAATACATGATTGGAGGATTTAAGGAGTAAATAAAAAATATCAAAAATAGTTTTACACAGTCAAAAGTGATATTTTCAATTGTGATGAACATGTAGCCAGCTGACATACGAGAAATTAATGACTTTTTCTCAATTAAAAGTTGTTCAACTTTTTTAATCTGCAAACGGATAGCCTGAAATAAACAAAAATAAAATATTTTAAATCCATTGTATTAATTGAAACATATATATATAATTTAATTTATCAATTACAAAACAATTTATTTATAACATTTTATTAGTATTTGAGTTAAACGTCTTTGTGTACTTCAACTAGAGTAAATTAACTTTTAAAACCGGTTAAGGGCTAAGAGAGGATAAGCTGTTAATTTTCCTTGGTATTCAATAACTAAATAATAATTTATATAATATCACTCCAATTAAATTTAGCTTGAATTGGAAGTTTCAAGATTCATACATAGACTGATAGAAAATGTGTAAATTTCTTGGTGTAATAATTTATAACTTAATATTAGTTTACAATAATTAAAATGATTATAATAATAAAGTGAGCCTTCTACTTTCTGTATTTAAAAAAAAAATTAATATTTTCCTCCTTACCTTATCAGTAAAATATTCCAATTACTACTATAAAAACAGATTTTGTTTTTTTGCGGCATGAGTGCACTGTAGGTCTATTGTACACCTTATTTAAAGTCACTTAGTTTAGAGTGTAATTCCTGCAGTCTCAATGAACTGTAATAAGCTTGTTGGATTGATAAGCCTGTTTGCCTAGGGATCCTTCTCCCTGTCGATGCCGAATAAACGAAATCTAAAGCCTGCTAACCTATCGCACCAGCAAGTAACATGATATGCTGTTTCATCCTCCCGGCCACAGTACCTACAAAGAGACGACTCCATGAGCCAGAGTTTGAACATATGATAATTCAGTTTACAGTGCCCTGTGTATGCTGCTATAATTTTCTTAAGTGAGCTCCTGCTCAGATTTATTAGTAAGTTAGTTCTTTTTTGACAGATTCCTTCCAGAAACAGTCTAGAGTGGGTCTGTTTTTTCAAGCTCCAGTTATTTTTCTTTTGAGCACCATATATTTCCCCGATTCTGTTTGTTGTCAGACACTGACTAATACCACAGATGGGTTCAGGAGCTATGGGTTTCATTTCACAAATGCTCACAGCCTTGTCTAGCTAATTCATCGGCCATCTCATTACCATGAATTCCAGAGTGGCCCGAAACCCATTCAATGTTTACCTTATTAAGTCTGGATAAGTCATTGAGAATTCTAACTATCCCCAACTGTCTTAGATCTAGTTGTATAGTTGTCTAGTGCTCGCATGGCCGATTGACTGTCAGTATATATTGCGATTCTCCTTCCAACTAACCCGTCAAGCAACATTTTTGAAGCACAGTGAGTTATCGCCAGTATTTCAGATTGAAACATTGTTGCATAATTTCCAAGTGGTATTGACATGCCAGCCTCTGGTTCATCCCTTCTCCAAAAACCAGCTCCAGATCCGCATGTCATGAGTGACCCATCAGTATAACATTGTTATACTGTTATAAAAACAGATTCTATGGAATCTGGAAACCTATCCATTCATTACTGGTGTACATTTTCATATTCAAGTGGCTGATATACTTATAATAAATGTGGAACAGACACGTTACTTATTTCTGTAGTTGTGAAATGGCTAGGTAGCATAAAAAGCAAAAAAAAAGCTTTCTTAATGCCCTGTCCTTTTCCGCTAGGGTGTCTTCATATTTCCTCTTCTCTTCTTCTAATTCTTGTTCGACCATGGCTAGTGTTGTAGTCAGCACTCCAGAGGCCACGTTTCGCTGGATGCCATCAAGGAACTCCTCGTCTTACAAGATAGCTCATGCGACTTCCCGCAGTGATGAAGCATGGACACCTCTGTTTCTTCCTTCTTCCCTCCAACTTCTAAGGAGATACTCTGCCTGTTCCAACTTGGTCCTGAGTGCTTGGTCACTAAACTCTAATTTGGTTGCCATGTCTGTCACTTCGAGGAATAAGCCCCTTATTACATTTCTTTCAGTGTAACTTCTTCTTTCTATATTCGTTAGCTGCAGCTCTAGTCTTACACTGCTAACCGCAACAGCTACTGCTTGCGGGGTTCCATTTTTCTGCTCCCCCTTCCCCCCCATATGTCTCATGACATTCTATTTCACTTCTTTTGGTGTATTTCGTGGCTCGCCTCTGTATTATGGACCATCAGTCTTCTTGGTTCCTTCCAATCCAGCCTGTTGTTTCTCCTGCCTTTGCCTTCTTCTGAAAATGGCCCAAGCTGTGATCTCAGCTGTGACTGGGCCAGGGATCCCGACAGAATAGGCGTCTTCATCGCTGATAGTCCTGAGTTTCTTGTCTACGTGGGCTGGGTTGGCGAATGATCCCTGAGCGGTCTTATCTTTAGGTTCTTCCCCCAGTCCCTCTAGATAATATTTAGTCACCTCATTCTTTGTTTCCAGATTCCTCATGAGACCTGTAACCGTTAACGTTATCTTGTCAAAAATACCCTTGAGGATTTGTCACTTTGGGTTTGACAATTTCTTTCTCTGATTGATGATTCTGTCATAATGACCCTTTCTCAGCTTGAATCTGTAATTTTCACTACTTTCTGATTTTGACACAGCTTTATTACCGATTCACATTTGATTGAAGATGGATCCCCAAGTACTTCAACTCCTTCAAGAAAAGACTGCAAATAACAGATTTTTTGAAGAAGAAATTCAGTCATTTTTCTTGTTTGAAGCATAAGGTAATCAATCCTACCAAAATAAAACTAAACAAAAGGTTTAGCATCACCCAGGCAAAGGCACCTTTTATCAAAAGCCATAGCAACTTGTTTAATCTTCTGGCAGCATTTTTTCGCAGATCTAAAACTTATTTTTTTACCATAAGAGGATGATTTATAGTCTAGATATAGTTTTATTAGGCTTGCTGATGTTTTAACGCAAGCATATGGATCATTCTCCAGGCAATGGTTACTGTCTAATCTAGCAACAAGAATTTATACTTAGTTCTTCAGTTAATTTATTCTTAGTACTTCAGAACTTATACTGGTTGTTTTTCAGTTCCTCAATAGGGCATTCATACAGGACGACTGTATGAATGCCCTATTGAGGAACAACAATTTCTTGATACCGTCTGCAAATAGAGAAATGGAAAACTACATTCTTTGAAATAAAAGAATGAATTAAGGACGAATCATATCGCAATGATAGATTTTAAAAATTTTATGGCGCGGTGCATGGATCTTGAAAATGGCTCCTGAAGCCGAAACATTGAATAAAGTATACAGGATGTAAAAAACTGTATATTTGGTGACCTTTGGCCTAAAGTAGATATATGAAAAATTATGAGAAAATGGCACCAAACCTGAAGGATGTGACTAGAAAATTTACATATTTATTTAAAATGGGTTTAACTAATGGTAATATGTAAAACAATGGAATATTAAAGAATCACTGATCACTAATTTTCTTAGTATATGATTGAAGAATTTTTTTATCATAATAACGAAATAGGTGATAATCAGAAAAGGCTATATCCCGTGAATACTGCAGCTGGAGCAGAACTTCCCATTTTAACGTTTACTAGTTGGTTTTTACCAGTTGTGCAACATGTGGTCGACTGTTGTCATGCAATAAAATCATCTTGTCGTGTATATGCTCGTATAGCAGCCGTTTTTCCTTTAGGACTCGGCTAAAATGCATCAATTGTAGTTGATAACGATCTCCCGGGATACTTTCATTCAATTTGAGCAACTCTAGTAAATTACACTGAGCTGATCCCACCAAATGCAGAGAAGCTTCAAACCAAGGATATTTGGCTTTGCAGAAGATGTTGATGCATGGCCGGGCTTACTCCATGATTTTCTCAACTTAAGATTATTGTACTGTATCCGTTTTTCATTGCTAGTCATGATAGGATGCAAAAAACCAACTCATACAACACCCATTGTTCTTTCTTCTGGATCATTCCTAATACTTACAGACGTTTCAAAATTGTTAAGTCATCTACTAGTAATGATTTTTCAAGTTCAGCTAGCATCTATCATGGGTCTTCATTGAATAATTTTTAAAATTATTCATTTTACAACTTTTTCAGTGTGTCAGAGTATTTTTAATCTCCAAGATTAAAATCATTATTTTTGAAGCACCGAAACCAGTCTCTGCATATCTTTTTCAACAAGTATGCTCACCATGACACAAGAAACCTCCTAGAGATCATCAACTGAAAGGTAGCAGCACAAGACAAAGTCGAATGACAGAAGCTTATTGACGGAGGTCAAGACCCAGTCAGGGTTGAATGGAGATAGATAGATGCTCACCGTAAGTCTCAGCAAGAATTCTGTGTGCTTCAGTTGCAGATTTCTTTTGAATAAATTGTTGGGTAATTACCCGCAAAAACTTTTCTCTTAGCACAAAACTTAATATTTTTAGAACTACAGAAAAAAAAACATTGTTTACACTGTAGTGAACTAAGATACTCTGAAGTCCAAGCTTACCGACAATAGTTCTTGGAAAATTGCGTAAAGAACTAAAATGAACAGCAATAAAGGCTGTTATAGTAGGAAACACCGAGAATTCATTTAAGGTCGTTTCAAGGTAATAGTTTACCAATACAATTCTGCTTATTTAAACTCTATTTTTAAATAATCATTGGACTTCTAATTAATATATTAACTTGTGATTGCCTACACATTTAGACTATGTATCTGTCACAGAATTTTTAAAAAACATTTCCTGTAGTTGGAAATAATTGGGCTAGATAATATTTTCTAATGTAGTTAGTAAACTAAAAATAGACCAACTTATAATTTATAAAATGACGACACAAAGTAACCAAAGACTCAATAATAAAATAAATCTATACAAATAATGGCTTGTTATCAAATATACTTACATGAATGTGTGAATATAATTTTAAGACAGCAGGAGCAATAATTTTTGATGTATTATTGTCAGATTTTATAAGAAGATCAAACAAAGTATGAATCGAGACTAATTTATTTATATTGAAAACAACAATTTGAGGTATGCCTGAGTTATCTCTATCTTCAACAGAAAAGTATTCAACATTGTCAAGTATACGAGACACCTATAACATAAAAAATAAACTGATTGATGAAAATAAAATTAAGTTGTACAGATTGTGATAAAATATGTAATTAAAAAACAAACTCTGCACTGCTATAACCCATGAAGGGTCTTGGGTTCAGTACTAAGGAAGTACTGTTTCTACGATAACAGTTGTGCAAGGAGGTGATTTGACCAAGATCACGCTCAACCACTAGATTTTTCCTCTTAATTAATTAATTAATGAAGAGTGCCCTAAAATGTGTAATTATTAACGATTAATTTTCCAATTTCTTTTATCTCTAAATATAGTACCATTTATCTGGAGAAACCTATTGTTTGTAATGAAATTCGAAGGCTATCTGCTCAAGCAGTATTAATATTATTGTATGTGAATATGAATATATAGACATGGAATATCAACTATAATATTGATCATGAGCACCATTAGTGACATCCTGAGGGGAAATTATGGAGTAGAGCAGAGCAGCTGGAATTCCATCAATCCTAAACACTATCAGGCCATGACAGAATCCTACTACTTCAGCCCAGCATAAATTTGAAAGGCTAATGAGTGGAATGATAGACTGTAGTTTTTCGAACAGTTTTCACACTGTGCTATAATAATAAAAACATATTTGTACATTAGTATTTATTTATACAATTTCTAATAGTATTTACTTCTATAAAATTATTGTAACTTATTTTTCTGTTGTTTTAACTTAATTTTATGATAGGGAAACAAAAATGTATAATTTTATATTTTGTGGAAATTCAATATAAGGCATGACATATAAAATAAAAGAAATAAATAATAAATATTTTATGAACTTTAATTTAATAGGTTAAATCTGACAATAAAAAACAAAACAAAAGTTATTCTTACTTTATAACAAAAAACCTGAGTTTGATTACAAAATAACACAAGATTATTATAAAAAGTCACTATAAATATGCCAAGGCAAATGACGTCTGGTAATAAATCTGTCTAAAGTGGCAATAAATGAAGGAGTAGATAGGTTCGTCACAAGTTCTAGATGGACAGCCTTGGTGGACATGCACACAAAGAGAGCTAACCAACATTTTGATTTAGGAGCATTGCGCTTACTGAAAATCTTCATAATGAAGGGGGCGCCATAGTCTACTCCAACTTGCTGAAAGACAGTAACTGACCCTCGGTCACCCTGAAAGACAGTAAATCACTTATTTTTGGAGCATGTGGCTTCAGATTATTTGTTGTGTCACGTAACGCATTTATAAATCCGGCTTCTAACGAGTCTTCTTAGAGAAGGGATCCAAAATTGGTGATGAATGAGCGACTGGACCAACAGGGGCACACCATGCAAGAAATACCTGTGGTATTGGTCACACAAAAAGACTGCTAAATGTGAATATTTAGGTATCAGCAGTGGGTGCTTAGTTTTTTCTTTGATTGTGAAATACTTCAATCTACCTCCCACCCTGAGAGCTCCGTCCTTATCCAAAAATGGTGTGAGCCTGTTTAAGGAACTCTTATATGGTTTGCCACCTTCAAGACAATCAATTAATTCAGTGAAGAATTAATTAGAATCTGGACGAGTCTGACATAAATTATCAAAGAATCCTTAAGATTGTCAGCAGACAAGGTTCCTGCAGCCAAAACATCTTGCTCCCAATCTCAGGAACATTTAATAAATTTTAAAATGAAAGCAAAAACCCTTTGCAGCTTTAAAAGGCTCGAATATTTTTCCAGGCAAAGGTTTTTCAGCTACTAAAAGAGATATTTGTTATTACTTTAGGCAGAACGGATGGAGGTTCAATATGGTAAATAGGCCAGTAAGAAGGAGGTAACGAAATAAATGCTGGGCCATTCTAATAAAGCTCATGGGAAAGTATCTGGTGTGGTGTGAGGTCTCTTGATAAACAATTGGCTGGATTCTGTTTTGTAGGAATATAGTGCTAACAACTGTGTTCTGTTACTTCTAAAATCTGTACTAAGCGATTGGTAACATAAATCCGAAGTTCATGTGGGGGGCGTCTGTAACCAATAGTGCACATTACGAGAATCCGAAAAACAAAATACTTCCTCAATTTGCAAATGACTTTAGTAGGCAAGAAGAGCAGCGTTTAATTCCAAACTAGGCACTGATGAACCTTAAGTGGGGCCACCTTACTTTTTGCCCTTAACAAATGAATTTTGGTAGCTTCTCCTGGCCACCGTTCTCGGAAGCGTCTGAAAAGGCGATTAGTTGCACGGATGATGCATTATGGCTGACAATACAACTAGGCAGGCAAAAATTCTTCAAGGAAAACATTCCACAATGAAGACACTCGAGAGGGCAACTCATCATCTCAATCAATCTTAAGCAGCCACAAATGTTGTAATAGCCATTTAATGGAAAAAATTACCGGACTGATATATCCATTTATATAGAAAATCTTGGGCAATGAAGGATAGAGTACCTCCCTTTGTAAAAATAGGCTCGCTTTTCTGAATTGCATACCTGAAATGATCGAGTTTAGGATCCCAATACAAACCCAAAATCTTGATAGTCTAGAAATCTCCATCCAGGCACAACGGAACTTCTTGAATACCCTCGGGTATAAAAGAAAGTACTTTTTTAGAATTGCTGGAGAACTTTCATCAACTCATTATACAGATCCAGAGCCTCATCAATATTGCAAGCACCAGTGATTATGTTGTCTACATAAATCTGGTCATGACAGTGGGCAGCTTTAGGAAAATTATGGCCTTCTTCCCAAAATACCTGTAGAATGACTCTCTGAGCAATAAAGGGAGAAAATTTCAACCCAAATGGGAAGGTAACCAACTCATAGTCTTGGATCGGCTGTGAAGATTCACTTCTCCAACAGAAACGTAAGTCTTGATTAGTTTCGGCAATGCAGATACACTTACTTAAACATCATTTTTATATCCCATGTTAAGGCCATAGGAAAGTATCTAAAATGGTCTATAAGTTCTGCAATATCAGTCTGGAACTACGGAGCGGTCAAAAGCAAATCATTGAGTGAGTTCCCTCCCACCACCTTTTCCGAACCGTTAAATACGACTCTATCTAAGCTTTGTCATGGAAGAATCTTTAATGACTCCATGATGTGTCATGATGTATGGAGAAGGGTTCTTGGTGAAGCGGACATGGACCAGTCTTACATATTCGTCCATCTGTGGAGCATAGGCAGACTTATACTCCGGATCCCTCATAAATCTGTTTTCCAGATTTCAAAATGTGCGTAGAGATATCTCTCTAATGGAATCAAGGCTAATTGCTGGTCAGAACGGAATGGAAGCGAAACAACGAATCTACTTTGGAGATCATGTATTTATAAAGTGATCTTCGTAAAATGCATCTTCAGGATTCGGCAGAATTGAAATTGTGACTTCCTCCGTCTCTCAAAATCGCTTTAATTCCTCCTGTAAGGAAGAGCTGGTTTGCGTGAAAAGACTACCTACTGAAGGCATAGGGTTTTGGCTTTCCGATAGGGTGTCCTCAAATAATACCAATCCTAATAAGGTATGAATAGCTTTCGATTGGCCTTTCAGAAATAAAACAGGGTCACTTAAAACCTCACCGTACATCTCATCACCCAGAAGCAGATCAACTTTTCCCGGCATGTGAAATTGAGGGTCCGATAGTTCAATTGAAGCAAATCTATTCTGTATTTCTTGGGACACGGCAAAGGAAGGCAAACTTCCACTGATGCAGGGCAATACTCTGGCTTAAAACTCATGTATATTGCTATTTCTTGTCAAACCCAAGTTCACTTTAACCTCAGTTGAAGAAGAAGATATAGAGGTATTACCTACTCCAGACACCACAAGAGGACTAACCCAGGAAGGGAATGAAGGCATAACGTTTTCATTAGATCAGTGGTAATTAAATTAATTTGGGAACCTGGATCTATCACCATTCTGCATGAATATCACTGACCTGAACTTGAACAAATTCTACCTAAGGTAGTATCCACAAATACTTGTTTGTTAGTATGGCACTTGTGAAGTAGTATGACATGAGAATGCACGAGAATTGTTTGTTACTTGAGAGAGGGAGGGCTCAGTGTTTGTAGCCTTATGTAACATTGTATGGTTACTCTTTTTGCCACAAACTTGGTGTACAATATTGGAGGGCCCGGTATATGCCATATGCTCGGGTGCCCTTTTCTTGTGCTATATAAAAATAAATGTTCTGTGGAGGAATACTTGTGAATACTATCTGCCGTTCGTCCAAGTTCCTGGAGATAGTGTAGCTGAAGGGCTGTAACTCTTGAGGTCTGGTAGAGTAAGCAGGCTGTAAGCCGTCTGGTTCAATACTTCGTTCGCTAGCATCTGACTTTTGGCCGTAGATAAGGCCGTCTTAGAGAGGGGGTAGTGCAGGATGAGACCGGGGTCCCCCGTGGTATTATTCGAAGCAAATAATAAATACGTGATATATAATACCAATTGATATACAACACTTGGCAACAGCCTTTACTTTGGCAATTCGGCAAGCGATGAGGTCCTGTACAAGAAAATCATAAATCAGACTTCTTTAGCAGGTCATAGCGACCATTAACATTGGCATCTAGAAATTGAGAGCAATTTATAATTTTATGGCTTGATTTACAGATTGGGCATTCTAACTTAAATTTCTGCTTATCTGGTCTATTGCTTGTTAAAAATGTTTTTCGCTGAACTTTATGCTATGAAATTTTGGATGTAGATAGCTCGGAACACATTTCTGCGACTCTAAGTTGTGACCTAACAAACTTTCAAAATTCTTCAAAATTAGGAACTGTCTCTTCGTTGAGACTATTCTCCAACATTATTCTTGTATTTGGGTCTACAACGTTAAGTCCAAGATGCAGCAAAATAAAATCAGCGAAGTTGTGGAGTTTAAGATTTTTTAAGGCATTGTAATTATCCTCAAATGTATCCAGAAAGCTTCTGAAGTTGGTAGAATTATCAACCGAAAAGGATTTAAATCATATAATCTTGCTAAGATGGTAGGCCGCAATGATCCTTTTATTGCTGTAGCGCTTTACTAATTTATCATAGGCCAAGCTGTAATGTTCTGCGTTAAACTCAATTGAAGAAATGACCAGTGAAGCAGGATGAACTAAAAGTGACTTGAGATATGAAAATTTGTCTATATCTATGTAATGTAGATGATGAATTAAGGCATCAAACAATGATTTAAATGAAGGAAATTGTTCGTACTGTCCACAAAATGGAGGAATTTGTAAATATGGCAATTTAAGAAACGCTACTGGTTCAGAAGCAGTTGAGAAGCAGGAACTATGTGCTCAGCTTTATTTAATCTCTCATGCACAACTTTTATTTCTAGCCTATTTTCCTCTTCAAACAATTCATTTAGCACCGAAATCTTGTTCAATACTGCTTCAAATTTCTCGAATTATGCTTTGATTTCTGAAGCCCTTGCAATAAAAATTTCTTTTCTAACAGCTAGTTGTAGACCCTTAATCATATCAAAGGGGTTTGAATTCTAAGAAACAACCTTTCCTTTCTATCATTCATGGTTTTAAGTCCCTCAGTACTCTTAGTCAGTGCCATCTTCAAAGTAGTTGAAAAAAAAAATTAAATTTTAATTTCTGAAGGCAAAACCCAATTTTATTCAAAATAAATTCAAAGTTCAGCAAAGCAGGCCAAGAAAAGCAAGGATTAACTTAAGGATTAACGAAGTCACTTAATTCCAGCAAGTCATAATGTGTTCTTTCCTGAAACTTATCTGGAAACAGTTTGACTTCCCGAAATATGTAACGAAAGCATTAGATATATTAGATAAGATATATTTAAAAAACAAATACGACTATTAGCCCGGAATTATACGATTTATACAAAAATTTTTTTCAATTTTTATTACTCTGGCGCCCCCAAATACGCAACAAAGCAATAAATGACATAAGATATATTTAAAAAAAAAAAAAAAAAACTAATTAATGGGCGAAATACGAATTTCAGCCCGGAAATAGACGATCTTTACAAAACTCTCATAACCTACCAGGCAATTTTCCTCCTTTAAGTACGACAAAATATCGCTAAGGTGGAAAAAAAACTATTTAATCGTGTCCGGTGGACCAAAATGTTTAGGCGACTTTCCAAATTTTAATTAAGGGAGGGCTAATAACTCTCATGAGTTCTTAATAGGCAAAATTCTACTTATTTAGGCAGTGGACTGTATTTTAATGAATTGGTAGGTTATACGAATTGTTCAAAAACAGCTTACCATTTTTATGCTGGCATAGATATCTCTTTTACCTGAGGGCCCTCAAGTCTTCAAGTCTTGCCTCCGTGGATATTTGGGCTGGAATGGGACAGTCGTACCGGGAGCTCATACGGATTAAATTTTACATTTTAGATCTTCTGATCTGCCCCTCCCCCCTACTCGCCGCATAGACATAGCTGGGCACTATCTTGCACAAACAGGCATATTAAGGCAATCGTGGGTAACAAATTTATACTACATTGGGAACAGACTCATTCTAAGCTGCTCCTAGTACGGCTCTTTCACAAGAGAAGTAAATCACTTCTTCTGATGGACAGGAGTACCGTTAGGCGTGTGACAGGATTGTACACTGTTCACTGTCAATTAAATAAGCATCTTTTCAATTTGGGTATAAGTGAGACCTCCACCTGCAGGCGGTGTGGCCTGGAGGATGAAACGGCCTATCATATTATTTGTAGACGTGATAATTTGGCTAGACTGCGATACTTTCACTTCGGATGAGATCGTATCACTGATCCTAAGCACTGCAAACTGATTGATCTTATCATAATTGACAGGTTCACAAAGGCATCTGGCCAGTTTTAATTGAGTCTAGGACGACGCAAAATAGGCCTTCTTGAGGCCACGGTGCACTCTTATGTCGGAAAAAAACAACAAAGATATCCAAGAAAAAATAACAGTATAACATGAGTGGGCGCGCGGCGCATGGAGTGTGCCACAACAGTTTTCCAAGCAATTTGAAAAAGTACTGTTGGTTATAAGGATTACGGCAGGTAGAAAGGTAGGAGAAGTACAATAAAGATTAGATAAACAAATACATACTATTTCCACGAGATCCAGTCACTTTGAGAGATTTGACAGCCTAAAAACTGAGGCTGGTGCATTCCGTGCCCGCTCGAAGGTTAAAAAAGGTGTAACCAGAATAATCAAAAAGTGATTTAAGGTAGCAAAGTTGTTTATTTCACCCTTCTGACTGTTAATATAATTTTCATAATATTCAGAGATAATTTTTGTCATTAATACCTTGAATTGCAGTATTTATGGCTTTGAAATAGTTTTGAAAAATACCTGTAGGAACATAAATCTCTACTAGTATCTAAATGAACAGAGTGTAGAGTGGAGAATTTGGATTGATGATGATTTCAAAGGACCCACTGACGATTACTCCACTCCATTGTTTCATTTCATACCAATAGGTAAAGATTCATACTCCTACAAGTATTTCAAACTTGTAAATAATGAAATGTCTGGTATTAATAACAAAAAATATCTCTGAATATTATCATAACAGTTAGAATGGTCCAGTTAACAACTTGGCTAGTTAAAATCCCCAATTAATTATTCTTGCCACACCTTTTTTAATAAAATAGGAAAAGTAAGTAAATACACACTTTATAATACTAACAATCTAAAAATATAATCATTAAACTACATATAATCCAGAATAAAATCAAATTAAACTTACCTGCAGGTTATACGGTTCCATCTTTTTTACAGCAAATAACATTCCATTGGCATGCACAAGGTAATACTTAATTTTAGGATAATAAGTATAACATATCTTCACAGCTACATTTCCTTTAACTTTATTACATATTTTACACGTCGAAATAATATTTCTATTTTGTATTTCTAATAATTCACCATCATAAGTTACAACAACCAAATCAAAATGTTCCTCTGAAAAAAATATTAAGAAAATTAAACGTTTTATATTTCAATGACATTCATGTTTAATTAATATGGTAATCAGAATTACTAATGAAAATAACTATTCCTCAGGTTAATAAAATCATAATTGAATATTAAAAATGTACAAATTGTGACTTTAGAGAAAGCAAAAATTAATAATAAAAATCTGGTGCCCGCAACACACAACTTTCACTTACCACTCTTCTTTGAATAGAAATTATTTTCTAGCAATGTTGGACTATTATAAAATTTTTTAAGTGCATTTTAAACGGAGTTTTATCTTAAAGCTTACAAATCATCAAGACCATTAAAATTACAAAACGTCTATTTATTATATCGACGGTATGCAATAAAAATCTAGTTTCTCCATCTGCTTTTATAAACCACGTAACTTCAGTCTTTGAGCCTTTCAGTTTAAAGAATGATTAACTCCAATTTCAACATTTTAGTGATATTTCTAGTAGGAAAAATTATATCTATACAGACAGTGAGTAAGTTGATCACAGAGTAGGTTATTGCAGTGTTGAAATATAGAACTGTGAATAAATGTATAAATTTTGCGACAAGAAACATCACTAAAATTAATAATAAAGAATGTTGAAATTGGAGTTAGTCATTCTGTCAACCGAAAGGCTCATATATGCCTAGAGAGATTTGAAAGTACATCTGAATATCTAACCTATAAATGACTATGGATTGTAAGACTATTAGTTATTAAACTGTTATTATCCATTGTAAAGTTTACTAAAATTATATTACGACATTTTCATTGCCTGCCATGAATAGGTCAAAAATTGTCACACTAATTGTAAGCAGATAATGTTGGGATTTCACAAAGGGAAAATTTATCAAATTATTCACTAATTTAATTTTCTAAAAGGTTACTTGATGATTTTTTGGAATAAACGGCCGATAAATAACTAATTATTTAAATATAATATCATATCTAGAGTTATTAAACTACAGTAAATGTATTTAAGGTTATAAACGACGTAAACCAATGACTTCCTGTCCTACAGTTTCCTTTAACAATACTCCACTTATCCCTGTTGAGCAAATCCGATACCTAGGACTCCACCTGGACAAACGACTAACTTGGAATCCTCATACTAGACTGAAACGACAAGAAACCGCTCGACGTTTCCGATTACTTCAGCACTTACTAGACAAACGCTCTAAACTTCCAATTAATTACAAAAGACTCATATACATGATTATAATAAGGCCTATTTGGACTTACGGAGTTGAGCTATGGGGCTCCACTAAACCATCGAATTCCTCTCGTATTCAACCCAAAATCCTTCGTAAAATCCTCAATGCTCCCTACTGTGTCACAAATAAAATCATCCATAAAGACCTTAATGTTTCTTTTGTTTCAGATCTGGCCCAATCCAGATACCTACCCTTCCATAATAAACTTTAGAATCATCCCAACCCTCTCGTTTCTAACCTTTGCTTCCTCTTCAATTCCTGATAACCCTTCGAGGCGTCTGAAAAGAAGATGGCTCCGTTATCTCCTAATATAGACATACTATTAGAGTGCTACCATTGGGTAGTTACTCAGCAAGTGTTTTCATGTCATTATATCCATGTACGAATTTACTAGATGGTTTTTTAAAAAAATTTTCATACAGTTGTAAATATCATATAAATAATAATAAAAAAAAGTTATAAACATATCCAGGAAAAATTATTATATTTCACTTCTTTCACACAAGTACAATGAAATAGTATTTTAAATAATGACATTGGCTTGATTCGGTGGATTTTAAATACTTCAAACTTAAAAAAAAATTTAAAAGATTACATTTCGTAAGAAAATTTCATCTAATTTCCTTGGAAACATGTGATTTACGTTAAATAATGTTAGTTTTTCTGAAATTATTATTTATATTTTTTTTTCGTCACCTTCTGTTACCTTGTACAACTTTATATATTTGATATTATTTTTTCTAAAATTCTCTGCTTTTCAACGATATATTATACGTATGACTGTTATTTCCGGGTTCATTTTCAACCTGGATAAGCATTTTTCTTTTTTTCTCCATTTTGCAATTATCATATTCTTTCAAACTTCATATTTACCAATTTTTTTATAATTACTGTCAATAAAAGAGAGTTAATTTTTTTAAATAATCCATATTAAAGGTACTTTAAAGGAAGACATATATGAACATTGGGCATTTAAGCCCTGTAAAGTGACATAAATGGGGATAATGCCTAAATTATAATAAATACCACTTAATTATACAATGATATACCGAGTTTAATCAAAATCGTTAGATTCAATTTTGAGAAAATTGTAAAAATGTGTTTCACCGTTGAAAACTCAGATTCGAAATTTTTTACATATATAGGTAAGCGAAAGTAAAAATCTGATGCTGAGTATCACACAACTTTCATTTGCCACACTACTTTCAGTAAAAATTATTTTTTTTAAAGTAATATACCTTAAGAATATTACTTTAATTATTTACTGTTTTTTTCATATAGTTTAATGAATAATAACTGCAGCCTGTGGTGTTAGCTAGTTAGACATCATTGCCGGTCCCAAGTCCGGATAAAGCAGGAAGGTTGAGCGAAGGACTTCCACCCTTCCTCGTGAAACAATGCGGTTTAAAGAAACCTTCAACTATTCAACTCCTATGGAAATGACGCAGGATAATAATAACTACTCCAGAGGATCTGGGGAGGGGGAGTCCTACCTACGTCAACCCTAAGGAAGGATTGTGATCGGCGTAAGCTGCTAAGAAGGAATGAACTGACTCTAACAACTTGGAATTTGTGGAGAATATTCCAGGCAGGAGTGAGTAGATGCGTAAAGTAGATGTGGCTGCCCTTCAAGAAATCAGATGGAGCGATACGAAAACTGTCGAGCTCAAGAAGTATATCGTCATCAACAGCGGAAATGAACAAAACTCTCTGCGAAGGGGCTTCATCATAAAGAAATACCACAAGCACGCTCTCCTGAACTTCAACCCAATCAACGAAAGAATCTGCACGCTGAGACTCAAAAGACGTTTCTTCAATATATCTTTTCTAAGCGTTCATGTTCCAACAGAAGAAAAGGACAAATAAGCGAAGGACATATTCTACGGAATGTTGGTATCGGTGTATGACGGACTCCCACGTTATGATGTTAAAATTGTAATGGGAGGCACAAATGCCAAAATTGGTGAAGAAGAAACTTTCGTCCCAACGATTGGAAGTGAGAGTAAGCATGACAAATCTAATGATAATGGTGTCAGATTGATTTATTTCGCTATGATGAGAGGGCTCAGAATAGTCAGCACTAAATTCCCCACAAGCAAATCCACAAAGAAATCTGGGTATCTCCAGATGGTTTGATTGCAAACCAAATAGACCGCATCCTCATAGACAAAGGCATGCATCACACGTTACAACTGTACGAAGCTACCGTGGAGCCGAATGCAGTAGTGAGCATTAACTTGTAATCGGAAGATACAAACAGAGACTAGCATTAGCCCAGAAGCAAAATACCCAAAAGATGACAAACACTTACAAAGGGGAAACTCAGAAAGATGAGCGGGTCAGGCAGGAATATGGAGAAAAGCTCCAAACACACTTCACAACGGCACACAAGAAACGGCTTCGGAAGATAAAACAAACAGAGAAGAAATGGGGTTCAGTGAAAACAACCTTTAAGAAAGCTTCTGAAACTCTAGTAGCAACTGGAAAGCCCGAGAGAAAGGATTGGTACGATGAAGAGTGCCAAAATGCAATAGAAAATAGAAATAAGGCCAAGATTAATGTGCAACAGAGGAGGACCAGAAAAATGTATGAGGAGTTTGTGAACCTGAGAAAAGTAGCTAAAATCCTTTGTAGGAAAAAAAGAAGAACCGCAGAAAACAAAAGGATGGATGAGCTTTGCCAAGGATATGAGAAGAAAGAGAGCAGAAAGTTCTACAAAGGCATGAAGAACATTAGAACTGGCTTCAGAGACCATTCAAACTACATCTCAGATGAGAAGGGAAATGTCATTGCAGATGTAGCAGGAATTCTTGATAGATGGGCCCAATACTACGAAAATGAACTAAATGGATCTACTCCTCGTATACTGACCCTGGAAGTTGAAGAAACAAGAGAAGAAATAGACGATGAAGAAGTACCACCAGACCGAGAAGAAATCATAGAAATCTTAATGGTCTAAAAAATAATAAACCAGGCGGCATTCATGGCTTTCCCAGCGAAATTCTGAAGTATGGTGGTGGAGATGTTTGGGAAGAGCTGTACCATATATTGCGGGACATATGGATAAATGAAAAGATGCCAAGTGAGTGGTCAGAAGCTATAATATGACCGATATATAAAAAGGAAGACAAGCTTCAGTGTGACAATTACAGGGCTATATCTCTTCTAAATATAGCATACAAAGTACTGTCAACTGTAGCATACAAAGTACTGCTTTATGCCGAAGAGTGAGCAAATGGGCCGAAGAAACGATTGGTGAATACTAAAGTGGTTTTAGGCCAGGAACATCCACAACTGATCATCTCTTCTCGCTAAGGCAACTCCTAGAAAAGTCGTACGAATACAATGTGACACTTCACCATCTATTTATAGACTTAAAGCAAGCGTACGACAGCATTGATCGGAAACGAATGCTAATGGCTTCGAACAAGATTAACATGCCCAAAAAGCTTATAAGGTTTATTAAAATGACGCTAAATGAAAGTAAATGCAGAATGAAAGTTCATACGCAAATATCTAATGTTTTCGAAGTGTGTTACTGTCTCTTTCCCCCGTATTTTTTAACCTAGCCTTAGAATGTGCTGTTAGAAAAATTAAAACAACGCCAGGAGGAAACAGATTAACCTAACATATGGCCTATGCCGGTGATGTAGTGATATCGGCAAGATCATTACCGGCACAAGCAGGAGCACCAGAAGAGTTTGAAACAGATGCTAATGAATCAGGCCTAGTTGTAAATAAAGAAAAAAACAAACAAAATATCTGAAGACAAGGTA